CTTTTAAAGTGGAAAATATAGCAAAACAAACAAAAATGCCGAGAACTTTGGTAACATTCGCAATACGCGTGACGTCACGTTTTTCAACAAGGATGCAGTCAATGACGTCAGAAGTTTCATATCCATTTCTTTTATTATCCATGGTCCCATGTATTTGGAAGTTAAATGTTATCCTTATAGCCTGTTTACCTGTTATAGCGTTTTGTACCGTTTTGCCCAGACGCTTCGATAAATAACTGCATTAATTTATCCACCAGTTGAGTCCAACTTTATTCCTCATAATCTTTCGCAATTGTATCGTATCAAAATTGGTTATTTTAATTAGTTTGATTTTTCATGCATTTTTACTGGAAATTCATTTCAGTGACGTAATACTCTATCTACATATAACTTTCCCCGACGGCTTGTGCATTTTTTGCATCGGTGAATCCAAAAATATCGACATTGTGCGCTTATGTTTGTATGTTTTATATGCTGGTACTGTTAAATTACGTAATTATATGTAAGCACGAGTGTTCGCCCTTGTAACCGTAGCTCATGAATGCAGTTCTTGTAACATGTGAAACATCATGGCGTCTAGCAAGGAGTAAATTTTTTTATACAAAATAAAAGATTCAACAACAAAATTTCGCCAACATTCGAAAATATAAACATGGAAACGTGAAAGTTTCAATTCACTCATCTATACCAAGATCAATTCGGTAAACCTGGTCGTTTTGACTTTTTGATCACCCAATCGATGCTAGCCCGCGTGCAGGCCCACCGAGGGAAGAATAGTGGGCCTGCAAGCAAGACCCGGTATTTTGTACTTTCCGCGTTCGCTCACGAACGCAGCATTCTGATTGGCTGTTTGCTATTGGATACTAAAATTAGATCAGTGATTCATCACAAAGGCTCTCGATAAGCTTAAAATTGGATCTGATCACTTTTTTCGATTAAAAATGGAACAATAACAGACTGTTTATTGTTGACTTGAAGGAAGAGATGTTTTTGCCGTTATGCCAACTGGGATTGCTTGTCGTGAAGTGTTGGAATAGCAACATTACGACTGGGGTAAACTATAGTAACCTTTACTTGAGTTTCATTAATTTCAAACAGACTTGATACGTTATATGTTCCTCAAGAAAATTATCTTTTGGTTGATGTTGACTCTGTTCTTGCACTGAAGAAAACAGCGCTTTTCGCGGTGAAGATTTAAAGGCAATTGCATGTAAGCCTATTCGAAACACTTTGCGATTTGCGAGGCTTCGCTGAGAGAGCGAAACAGAAGACGGTGATTGCCGTTTGAAACGAAACGATCTGGACTCTGAACGCTCTCTTCTTTTGTCGAGTTCTTTACCAAATGAAATAACTGAAATAAATTTCGTACTTTCCGCCGCCAACAAGAATTGCACACACGATCTGATAAGTGAGACAATTTATTTATAACAATGGCGACAGAAGCACACATTAATGCTAACGTGGTCGCACGACTTCCCTCACGATTTGAAGTTTGAGACGGGTTTTCTGTTGAAATTCGTCCTAATTTGCCTGTTCCGATTTTAGTTGAAAATGAGCACTTGCAAATTTGGCAATTACTGACTCCGATTTAAAGCGCAGCCATTTTGATAGACATTGTTTCTATTCTGAATAAGCAGAGAAAACCCCGCAACATTTTAATGCGAGTTTGTTTGTTACTATTTGGGTTGCTGTCATTGGTTCTTTTTTTACAATTGACGCGCGAATGGGGCGTGTTATGAAAAGGAGCGTTTTACAAAATACCGGGTCTTCCTTGCAGAGGCCCACTATTCTTCCCTCGGTGGGCCTGCACGCGGGCTAAATCGATGCCACCGCCGGTATGTATATATGCACGGTAAGAAATTATTAAAACTGTTATTAATTCATTAACAATAAGACATTGGATCATTATCTTTTTCCTGTGAATAAGTGTATATAGTCGTAATTAATGAATAATGTACATTGAACTGATTTATGTTATATATCATCGGCGAAATAAGACTATATTTATGTGTCCATGCAGTATATTTGTGTCACATTACTAAATTATATGTTTCTATTTTTAATGTTTAATGTTTCTATTTTTCTATAGTTTTAAAGTTACTTTTAGTACTTCAATTTGCAAAATATGCATGATTATATATGAAATATAATGTTAAAACTTTCAATTGCATTCAAATCCTTTCAAGAAAATTCATGTCCTTCAGTTGTTCGTAAGGTTGCTTGATAAAATTTCCTGAAGTTTCTCCTTTTCTTTTTTTTTAATGACTTCGTCTAATCCACCGAACTCCAATGCTTTTTTGGCGTAGTTTACGGCATTTTCGGAATACCTTTGGCTTCGTATTGAATGGTAAGCAATGGCCAACGTTGTATAGACCTTTGCTTTGCATTTATTTGGCTCGTCGCTTCCAGCAAGTTTTTCGGCCATGTCGCGAGCACTTTCCAAAACTTCAGTAGCTTTTTTTGCACGGTTGCTTTTCGTCAAACATTTCCCAAGGTTGTTAAGTACAAAAACGTGTCTTTCACTGGCGTCAAGTTCAAGATTTTCCCGCATTTCTTTGGCAGTGGTGTACCATTTCTCGGCTTCTTTAGGATCTTTGATTGTTAAGAATAGATCTCCAAGACTTTTGTAACACGATGATGTAAGCTCGTGCTCACCCAGATCGTTTTTGGACAATCGTATAGCTTCTCGGTAATATTCTTTCGTATTTTCCATCGATTTTTTCGATTCGTCTTTTTTACCGAGATAGTATTCGGTTGTAGAAATAGATTTGCATTCATGTCCCAGTTGCAATAATGAGAAAACCTGATCTGCCATTTCTACGGATGAGTCAGTTAATGTTTTCCTTAAGTTGAACGATTTTTCCAGCTGTTTACGTGCTTGAATCTGCAACTCTAAGCGCTCTTCACTTTCTTCGCCCTTATGGTGTTCAGATTTACGCGATAGGTATCTCCCGTACTGGTAATAGTAATGAGCACAAAATGACTTGTTCTCTTCTAAATCTTCGTAGTGCGTTTCGAAGTCTTTCTTTATTTCTTCCATTTTGGTATTAAAATGCTCGTCAGATTCACCGATTGATTCGTTGCGTTGTTGGTCTACTAACAAACAGTCAAAATTCAATTTGATAGCATGCTCCTCCCTCTCCTCGGCCAGGTTTGCGCATCGTTGTAGAAACTCGTCGACTATAGACCCAAGGATGGTTCTAACGAAGAGGGAAAAGAATCTGGCTGAGGTGGTGTAAACTTTACTGTGTGCAAGGCAGTCAGAGATGTCGGAGGTTGTTGGGTCTTTCTGCTGACAACAAATTTTGAGCACGTTCTGGATGTTGTGCGCTTCCTGCTTTAAAGCTTTTCTGTTTGCTTTGTATTTGTCTTTGCCGTAACTTTTCATAGTTAGGTCGTGCCCCAACTTCAAGTAGTATTTAACCATCAGCCATTCCGCACGCATCATTTGTTCACGTGCTGTTTCGCTCTCGCTTTCTTGTTGATGCTTTAAAAAATGTTTGATCAAGAGATGAATGGAATATCGGTGTTTGATTGGTTGTTTGATCAAGCTGTGGCGAACAAGTTTCTTTAACATGTTTGTTGTCTCTAAATTCTTTTTCTCGGTCACGACTCTGGCGGCATCCGCGCTGAAGTTCCCCTCGAAAACTGCCAAACGGACAAACGTTTCTTGTTCTTCACTAGAACACTTTTCATAAGACATGTTGATGGCGCGAAAGATGTACTGATCACTCTCAGGACATTGCAAAGTATTCATTGGTTGCTCTTGTAGGTGCTGTAATAATTCATCAGGATTTTCAAAGTCGTCAACTCGGGAACCTGCGATGCACATGGCAAGAGCTATTTTGCCACAAAGTTTTGCGAGTTTTCCCAAAAATTCGTCTTCCTGTTCAGGGCATTGCTTTCTCAAAAGTTCTAAACATGCGTCATCATCCATCTCATCAACTTGAACTTCACCAGTTAAGAGTTCGGGAATTTCGCAGGACGTTCTGGAAGTCGTAACAATCTGACAAAGCTGATTTGAGTTTTTTCGCAGCAAGCGGACAAACTCGTAGAAACTAGTCTTCTCCTCAAGCACGTTGTCGATGTCATCTATAACAAAAATTACTTTTCTCTTGACATTTTTTAACCAGAGAATTAGTGATGACTCAGGGTCATCTTCGTGGTAAACGCCAACATCACGGCAAAGTCGTAGGATCATTTCACGTACAGTGGTTGCCGTGGTTAATTGAGAAAAAATAACTGGAACGTTATGATCTTCACTGAGCTTATGCGACACCTGGATTGCGATTGCAGTCTTACCAAACCCAGGTCCGCCATGGAGTGAGACAACTGCTTTTCCTTCGTCTTGCAAAAAACTAATGACGTTTTGGATCTCGGCTTCACGCGCAGTGAATATTGGCAATTTATCTGGTAAACAACTCGTTAGTTCTCGTTCCTCGTTCTGTCGTTCGTTCATCTTAGCGAGATCATCACGATATTGCCCATTGCTGTCGCGTATTTCATGAATGTCTTTCGGAATTGGACGAAAGGATTTCAGTTCTTCTGCAAAATTGTTGAATTGTTTATTAATGAAAATTTTGTAAAAAGATATACAAAATATAATCAATTATTGGACAGTTTTCTGTGATATCCAAAGTTATCATTTACTCAATTTTGATTGGCTAATTTTCCTGCAAATAACTAGTGCCAGCAGTTTACTCCTAGAGCATGTACCTTGACACTTGAGAAGTAAAAATATAGCTCGTGTTAACAGAACTATCCGAAAACGATATGTCTTGGCGATAAGATATTGTCATCTCACCCTCAAATCACGATATTTTACTCAACGTCGTCCAATAATTATATATTCTCCACGTCAACTTAATGTTATGAGTCCAAGCCGACGGCCGAGACTAATTAACAATTAGACAACGAGACCGAGTTGTCTATGAGCGAATAGTCAACGAGGCGAAGCCGAGTTGACTATTTGCTCATAGACAACGAGGCCGAGTTGTCTAATTGTTTTAGTATAAACTTTAACATTAATTTACAACTAGGCTGCAAACACAATACAAAAATACACAAAAAACATTATAAAACCATTAAAGGTAAACAAATATTTTAGTTTTTGTTCGCGTAAAATATTTTACAAAATTCAGTTTTAATTTTAAAATTTCATTGAGTGTATGTTATTTTGTCTATTTTCTGACCCATAAAAATTGCCATTCCATATTTTTGTTGCTTTTTTCGGGTTTTTTTTAGTACAGAATTGTTCAACAAGTCGTCCAAAAAATCATCAGACAATTCGACAAAAGTGCAAAACGCGAATTTTCCGCCATTTTGAATTTTCTATTAGTAGGCTATCACTAATAGCCTATTAGTAGCGTACCCAATCAGAAGGCACGATATGTGATAGCCTACTAGTAGGTTTATACTAAACCTACTAGTATATATATATATATATATATATATATATATATATATATATATATATATATATATATATATATATATATATATATATATATATATATATATATATATATATATATATATATATATATATAGAAGAGAGTATTGGAGATTAGTCTAGGACCTGTATATGAGTTTGGATGCGTTTCATTTAGCACAGGTAATCTCAACTGGTAAAATGACCATGGCGGTCAACATGGCATATGTGCCAAAACCTGAATCCGGGACGAAAGTCCTGAAAATGACCCCGCCCGGAAAGGGCAGTGTCGACATAGCTCTAACTTCAGAAAACAAAAAGCGATAGTCTTTCTGAAGTGCTTATAGTGTTTAGAAGGGTTGCTTTTAGGGGTGGTCATTGGAAGAAAAAAATTGTCTAAGTAAATATTTTACAAGAAAATGACCATGCACCACCCCAGGTAAATTGCTGATTATGCATAAAATAACTAATATGCCAGGCAGAAATTAAATATTCTTATTTCCTAAAAAAAATTATCATGGGGTTAAAAACTATGCTTAATTTAATGTAAATATTGTTGATTTCATAAGGATTGTCATTGTTTTCTTTAAATATAATACATTTTATTTCACTTACCCCCCACGAAAACGCGATTTCAGCCATATTTTGCTGTCTTGTTTGCTTTTTATCGCCGAATCACGCAAATATCATCCAGTTATTGTACTTTTACATAATCATAAATGGCTGAAGAAGATTTCAAAGAAGGTTTCATCCACTTTTGAAACAGTGCAGTGTATTTTATCTTCGATAATGTGTCCTTCGATATCTCGTCAAATTGCCGCCATTTTAATGGCTCGCCGCTTCTCTGCCCGATAAATGCCACTTCTTCGTTTTCATATGTATTTAGATTACATTATCCAAGAGTACTTCATTGTAGAATAGTCCCAATCCAAAAATTGGAAATATTATTTGTACTTGGGAGGAAAAAACCTCCCAGTACAATTGTCCTGTTAGAATTTAAAAGAAATAATTTAAAAGTCACGCGCAAGTTCGCGAAAACACCTCGTGGGTTACGTAACAGGGGGGGTGAATATTTTCACGAAACGTTTGTTCGCCACCACCGGCCACAGCAACCTAACTAAATGTATTATATTTTTTGTATTTTTATAATTGATGATAAATATACACAAATATTTATTGTTTTTATCAAAAATCACAAATATACAATAAATATAATGTACCTAACTTAGGTTGCTGTGGCCTGTGGTGGCGAACAAACGTTTTGTGAAAATATTCACCCCCCCTGTTATGTAACCCACGAGGTGTTTTCGCGAACTTGCGCGTGACTTTTAAATTATTTCTTTTGAATTCTAACAGGACAATTGTACTGGCAGGTTTTTTCCTCCCAAGTACAAATAATATTTCCAATTTTTGGATTGGGACTATTCTACAATGAAGTACTCTTGGATAATGTAATCTAAATACATATGAAAACGAAGAAGTGGCATTTATCGGGCAGAGAAGCGGCGAGCCATTAAAATGGCGGCAATTTGACGAGATATCGAAGGACACATTATCGAAGATAAAATACACTGCACTGTTTCAAAAGTGGATGAAACCTTATTTAAAATCTTCTTCAGCCATTTATGATTATGTAAAAGTACAATAACTGGATGATATTTGCGTGATTCGGCGATAAAAAGGAAACAAGACGGCAAAATATGGCTGAAATCGCGTTTTCGTGGGGGGTAAGTGAAATAAAATTTATTATATTTAAAGAAAACAATGACAATCCTTATGAAATCAACAATATTTATATTAAATTAAGCATAGTTTTTAACCCCATGATATTTTTTTTTAGGAAATAAGAATATTTAATTTCTGCCAGGCATATTAGTTATTTTATGCATAATGAGCAATTTACCTGGGGTGGTGCATGGTCATTTTCTTGTAAAATATTATACTTAGACAAATTTTTCTTCCAATGACCACCCCTAAAAGCAACCCTTCTAAACACTATAAGCACTTCAGAAAGACTATTGCTTTTTGTTTTCTGAAGTTATAGCTATGTCGACACTGCCGTTTCAGGGCGGGGTCATTTTCAGGACTTTCGTCCCGGATTCAGCTTTTGGCACATATGCCATGTTGACCGCCATGGTCATTTTACCCTAAAACAGTTGAGATTACCTGTGCTAAATGAAATGCATACAAACTCATATACAGGTCCTAGACTAATTGGATCCAATGGATGACTGAGATGTCCAATGGACATATGCATGTCCAATAGATCCATTGGACATACTCCCTTTCCCATCTCATTGGCCTGCTACCTGCATGGGGTCGATGCCAACATATGACGTCATTCGAGATAACTTTACTTAATGCACAACCAAATGTCCAGTGGACTTATGCCTGTCCATTGGATCCAATGGACAAATCAAATGAACACTGGATATTTCAATATGTCCATTGGACATCTTGCAGAGACATTAATCAAAAATTATTAACTGAGGTTAAACTAAATGTCAAATGTTTCTCACTATTTATACCAATACACAATATATATCCAATGATTTTAACTTTTACTAATAGCTGACTAGCAATGGGTAACAATTTCCTTTTCCCCTTAGGCTTCATTTTGTGACATTTTACACGGTATACTGAAGAAAAGATTAGCAAATTTCTCCATATGCTTAGCATGAACTGCATCATTACTGAGAATTTGCCATGTCATTTTACCATTAATAGTGTAGATAAAATGGGAAAATGTATGAGGCGCACCATGAGCAAGACTATTAATAAAACATTCGTGTAGTACATACGGCTCAGGCTGATGATTACTGAAATTGAAACTTCCAAGACTTGATATTGCATTGCAGCCGCCTTTCGCAAATATATCATCACTGAGACAGAGATTGAATAGTTCTCTTGGTTCTTGTAGTCCAGTCACCACTGTCGCTTCGGCTACAAATGCTTCTTTCTTAACAAAATCCTTTATTCGCTGCGTAGTTTCTTGGGCTAATTTCCAGAAGTCGGCCGTATCACCAGTCACATATTTCAGGTAAATATTTTCACACGAATACACAAAATATCCAAGATAGTCTTTGTGCGGTTTCGGAACACAGAAGCGTTGAGCTTTGATGGCAAACGGCAAACCTAACTCCACGGATTTGTCCGGCCCTACAAGCTAACAAAAAGCTAAATGGGCAGCAGCACCGATAGCTCCTGTTACTAAGCAATTATTCCTTTTGCAGGCTTGCACAATACCCTTCGTTTCTTTCTCAGTAAAAACCTTTACGCTCAGTCGACATGGTACAGCAGTAGAAACTTCTGAGTTCCGAGGAAACTGTGTATAATACGGATTATCCGGCTTGTTTTGTAATACTCTATTCATAATTTTTTCCATGCAAAATTTCATGATCGGTCGTAGGCCACAATAAGCCAGCAAAAAATTAAACAATGAATGCCAAATGCGTCCCCGTGTGACAATCTTGTGGTAAAATGGCAGCAGACCAAGGCTTAAAATTTCTTCGTCAGCAGTGGTAGTACCGTTTGCAAGTTTATTCATATAATTAAGAAATTGCTCGCAAAACTTCACAGAGGACACGCCATCAATACAGGCATGGTTAAAGTTAAACATTAAGGTATTTGCATAATCTTTAGTATCCTGCATGAATTCCTCTTGTAATATTACGACTCGCCATAACAGACCATTTCCTCTCGGTTTCGCTGTATATTCAAACCAAACACTTTGCCATTCAGAAGCCTTTACATCAGAGGTAGTAATGTCTAACATTGTAATGACTTCATTGATTTCCTTGATTTCGAAATATCTATCTCCGTTCGCCATAGTTTCTATCACTGCTCGAAGCATCGGCTGTCGTTTGGATAACAGCACCAAAGCGTCGTATACGTGCTGGTATACCAGGCTCTGTTTTGATGTTATTGATATCGACACACATATATTCGTGTTACCAGATTTATCCAGGGAAAGCATATCGACAATTTCTTCGAAATGACCAAGTCGACGTCGGTTTGAACGAGCTGATTTTGGTGAAGACAATACCCTCGCATCGCCAGTGAGGTATCTTATAATCTTTGAAAGCGTGTATAAAAGAAATACGCAGACTACAGTGAGGAATGCTTGTATCCAGAATCCACTTAACATATTGAATGACACCAGTACAGGCAGCCAAACTAAACCTAACGTATGCACCAGATAAATGTCTTATTAATTGTACAAGACTAGTCTATCTTTCAATGCAACAGCTGGAATTTTAACTATATTGCGTGCGTATTTTCTATCAACAAATCACGATTCTGCAGATGCGTGGGCGGGGTGTTTATAGTTGCTCAATAATCACGATCGGTTCTACAGTTTCAGATTCATTTTCAGATTCAGATTCATATTCAGAATTAAATTTGAATCTGAAACGGGAACAGATGTCCCACATACACTGCAGAATGTGAATTACTCAGTTTTACGGAATAAACCTGATCATGGAAGGTGACCCATCTTAAGACTATTGCGCAATTGACAAAACTATTTTCTATTCATTAAAGACCATGTAAAGTCCGTTCTGCGCATGCATATGTTCTGCGCAGGCTTACATTCTAGGAAATCGCTAGATAGTATACTTCAAAATAAGGTAACCGCGAGAAGACTGGGTACGAGTTTGCCAAAATCTTCGGAAATCAGTTACGAGCGTTCTACGAACTTGCCACTCCTTTTGAAGGATGTTTTCTTACTCGCGCGGCTTTTTTAAATTTTGCGGGAAATTCAATTGGCGCGAAACGTTCCGAGGTATACAAATTGATAACAGGTCTTGTTACTTTAATTGAAATTATACAGTTATACGTTAATTTTTCTTTGTCATCCGAAGCATGTCGGCGAATATAAATTCGAGCTATGTTGGCGACCAAAAGGTGGCCGTAGTACAAAGCGAGTCCGATGTAAAAGCTCTGATTAAAGAATACGAGACGGAGACGAGCAGCAAATTCGTTGTTTACTACGGTGACAAGAGCTTTGGATCAAATGGCAAGTATTACTGTTAACGTATAGTATATATTAAGAAGTATGTCATTAGCGCATAAAGCAATAGGTTTTGCACATCACCTGCAACGAAGACATGTACACAACACCTCTGAGAGGCGACTGAGGTGCAGTATCCGTGCAACTTCTAAAAATCTTAAAATTATCAGGGCGTAAAAATTAGATCAGGGGGCTTATATAAATACCAAGGGGGGGGGGGCAATTTGGAAGGGGCCCAATTTCCCAAGAGGGGGGCCCGAAATGCTGGAATTGCGGAACGTGTTAAACATTTAGGAATATTGTGAAAAATTAAGGTCGAAAAATTCTGAAAAACGTATTCCCCCCCTTATCCAAAACAGGTTTGCGAAAAATTTTTTTGGACCTTTTATTTTCAGGAAAACGTATATCTCCCCCTCCTCACCTTTTTCCGGAAATTTTTTTGCGTACCGGGGGGGTCAAAAGGAAGAGGGCCCAAACTTTTAAGTTCACCCCCCCCCCCCTCTGACACAGACTCTGGACACAGCAAAAATAACAAATTTATTAATACTTTTATGACTACAAATTTCTTTTCTACTAACAAAAATGTATGCAGAATATACTGATAATAAATAATATTACGCTTTTACAGAATTCGACTTTTTTTATTGTTTAATTGATTTTTAGAAGTTAGAAAAGACAAACTTAAGGTTTTCTGGGAGAGAAAGGATGGTAACCAAGGGCCAAGTATTGCATACGACGGAATACCATTCGTGCATGTTGGAGAGAAAGTCTTGTGGTGTCACCAAGGGAAAGACAAAAACGAAAAAGCAAAACAAAAAAATAAGGAGAAGATTCGCAGCAGTCAGGTAACAAGACATTTAGCAAATACTAATAGGCATACACAGCTTTCCACAAATAAGCGGATTTTACTTTTCATTTTACAGGGTGCCGACCATTGTTACCATACCCAGAGAAGATCTTTTGCTCAGACATCTAAAAAGAAAGAATGCCCAGCTACAATTTTCATCACACAAATTGCAAAATTTCCGCAAATGAAGGTCTTTAAATGTTGTAAACAAACGATAAAATAAGTCTTTTTCTAACATACATAAAACCCCGCAAACATGACGTATACACTATTCTTTAGATTGAAAAAGACAGTATATTCTTCAGAAGAAGAATTGCAAAACAATTGCACGAAAAATTGAAGGAAAACACTATTGCAAGTGACGGTGTTGAAATGCGGTATATCGTAAAGTTACCTCATCCTTCTGAA